GGAGGTTAATTTGAGTAATAAAACTCTGGTCTCCTGTTTAGCCAGTTCTGTGTGCATTAAACTATTTTTCTCTATTGCAATTCTCCTGTGTTGTTAAACCAGTTCTATCTGGGCAGCAAGCAAGAAGAACCTGTGGGGTGGTTACATAAATCAAAGTTGTTCCAAAATTAAAAGTTTATTTGAAAATAATAATGTATTTATGAAAGAAGCTGCACACATCTCAAATGGAGGACAGAAGTTAAATGATCTCTGGATTGCTTTCCCCTCAACTTCACAAATCAAAATCTCTAAGTAGCAGCCCCATGCACAAACACACAGGGACCTCACCTGAAAGCACACTATTCCACGTGTGCTCCCCTTGACTGGCCACAGCTTCAATGTGCACCCTCTTTTCTCCCACTTCAGGGTCTAGCAAGTGAAGGAAATCAGAATATTTCACCCCAAATTATACTTCTTTGACATATTTTGAGATGGCTGTTCTGAGGGCCTGCAAACAAATAGCCCTGCAAAGCCGTCTGTTGTGAGGGAGATTTGCATCTGTAGAGAAAATCTGCATTGATGCAACCTGGCCTTCTTTGAGGTTCTCTCTTGTCTGGATCTAGGAAAGATTAACTGAGAGTCTGACACCTTTAAAGGTCTGAAAGAAATATTCACCATCTATTCTCTCTGAGGGCTGCTCCCTATGAGGTTTCATCTACATGATAGGACCACCTTTGCCTCAAGATGGTATACGAGCTTCTGTGCCTCCTTCTGGGGTTCAGGTAATCACTCTGTCTCCCTCCTCCCATCCCACACATTAATAAATTTGTATGCCATTTCTCCGATTAATCTACCTGTTGTCAGTTTTTTCTGGCAAGTCTTCAGAGGGCGGAGGGGAAGTTCTCCCTTGGTCTCTACGTAAGTCAGGTCTTAGCTCTTTCCCTTTCAATGCTCATTCCCACCCAACCCATCAGATCTTCACCAGCCCACTTCCCTGCCGAGCTGAATCTGTGGTCATTCACAGGACCTCTGGCACTCCCCAGGCCTAAGTCACTCCCATTGTTTTTCTTCTTCTCAGCTATTAAATGGGGATATTCCTAACACACACTCACACAACACCAAATGCGACTGGAACACATTTGAACTGTCATTTTTGGGAAATGTGATAGGAAATGACCAAAAGGTAACTATTATAGTACTATACAGAATTATCAAACTCAGTGAAGATTCAACTGAACATAAATTTATTGTTTATAATTGTATATATACCAAACTATATATAAATATATACAAATATATACGAACTGAGTTAAACCAAGTTGTTTCTAAGATCCCTTGAAGCTCATTGGTTCTGAGTTCCTACCTTACTAACTGAAGGCATTGAACACTTGATCTTCTCCTTTCTGCTTTTCAAAATGTTCCTGTATCCACCCTTCATTCTGTCTTTCTTTTCTTAAGGAAGGGACATGCATCCCTCTTTCCTTTCCTTGGATATCCCAATAATCCACAGTGTCTACCCCATGTTTGCTTTCTTTTTCCTAGGGCTTACCCATTGTCTTCAACATCTTTACTCATTTGACTTTCATACAAATATATATCTCCCCTCCTCTGAAAAGAAAAATCTTCATTAATCCTCTTGTCTCTCTAGCTGCCATCCTGTATTCCTTTCACTGCCACTTTATAATAATAACTACCAACATTTCACCTCTCAATTTCCTCAACCTAAACCTGCTTCTACTTAGATCTTTTGCTAAACTCCATGTTCTGTCTCAGCCCTTATTCCTAAGTACTACTGATGATGTCCTCTAAGCCAGGGGTCCCGAACCCCCAAGCCACAGACCAGTACCGGCCTGTTAGGTGCTGGACCTGTTGGGAACCCGGCTGCACAGCAGGAGGTGGGTGGCCTGTGAGCGAAGCTTCCTCTGTATTTACAGCCACACCCCATCACTCAGATTACCACCTGGGCGCTGCCTCCTGTCAGATCAACAGCAGCATTAGATCCTCACAGAAGCCTGAACCCTGTTGTGAACTGCACATGCAAGGAATCTAGGCTGCATGCTCCTTATCAGAATCTAATGCCTGCTGATCTGTCACTGTCTCCCATCACCCCCAGGTGGGACTGTATAGTTGCAGGATAACAAGCTCAGGGCTCCCACAGATTCTATATTATGGCTAGTTGTATAATTATTTCATTATATGTTACAATGTAATCATAATAGAAATAAAGTGCACAATAAATGTAATGTATTTGAATCATCCTGAAACCATCCCCCCGAACCCATCCATGGAAAAGCGTCTTCCACAAAACTGATCCCTGGTGCCAAAAAGGTTAGGGACCACTGCTCTAAGCAATGCCTCCTCCTTCTGCTCTCAGGACCTTCATTATCTCTTCCTCTGTATCTCCAACCGTCTGCCTAGAATGCTGATTCAAGAAAAAACCCAACATGTCCTTTGCCTAGAACACCCAACCCAAATCCTTGTAAACCTGGTGAGTCCCAGGAATCTTTTCACTTCCAGTTCAATCCTCACCTACCGTTTAGAGCTTTTCCGGCAGTCTCCAAGTAGAGGCCAAGCATGCCCTCTATGCTAACAATGAGCCTTGTACAGACTTCTAATAAATCTAACTCATATATGTCTCCTGCGGGGTGCCTTGAAGGGGTCCCTTGTCATATTTCAAGTACCACTCCAACATTTAACACTTGGGAACATTCCCCTGCAGGTAAGAAGTATTTTTTTCACTTGCTAATTATCTGGAGTACAGAGCCTTCCCTCAGCACAAGTCACCAGTCCGAACAAAGGGAGTGTCATGTTAATAATAACACCATTATTAAAAGACTACAAAATGGCAATGCATGGGAGTGTATTATAATAGCAGAATATAATGTACCTCCTTCACTTCTTTCACTAATTCCCCAAGAGTTTTGCCTTTACTGCAACAGAACAGAGAAGGCCCTTAATGAGTTTGAATTGACCAAATATTAACCAGCCTCCAGTGTGCAAACTGATTTTAAAATAGCCCTTGACCTGGAAATATAGGTGTATTCAAATACACACCCTGATAAGAAAGGACAGACAGGGATAGAGTTCAACATCTATAAGCTTGCCAAGTCAAAAGTTCCTTGTGATAAACTCTAAAAGTAGAGCAGTATTTTAGATATGGTTTGAATATGTTCATCCTTGTCTAAGAAATCTTGACAAAACAGGTTACATATAGCAAAGTCTACTTTCAGAAAACAAAATCCAGCTGGACATGTGTTAATGAAAACCAACAGTACTGCACTGATAAATAAATAAATATGCAGTGAGGCAACCCAGTCACAGATAGCTAGAGACAACAGTTCTAATGAGTCAAATCACACCACAGAAGTAGTTTCCATTCCATTTTAAATACATTATGGTGTTAAAAAAAAAAAAAAAAAAAAACAAAAAAAAAAACAACCTTAATTCCAAAGGTATTTTATGCATGGCTTCCTGAACATCTTTTATCTTAATAAAAGGTTGTTAGTTTTGTCGAGTTAAGGGAGTCAACATAGAGAAGCTGGTATTTCCTTGATGCTAAACTATACCGGTGCTAAAAACAAAACAAAAAACAAATCCCAACCTAATTAATTCTATTTTGGGTCTAGTTTCCAAGGCAGTTTTCACAAAGACTATTCTCAGCTCACTGTTTCTAGTTTTGTAACTTCAACCTTCAGTAGCTGGAAATTGTTATATTTTGGGTAATTCCTTGACACATATGTTCTATTACAGACTCATTTTATTCTACTTACTATCAAGGGTAAGGGGAAAAAAGTGTCACTCCATTGATTCTAAAGTTTTAGTTTCTAAGAATCACGTTTGTGTTTATTTCGCGGTATCATGTGATATGTTCCTATTAGGGCTTTGTAATTTGGGTTACATCAATTTCATCAACATCAACTTTCAGGTGGAATCCTTCCCAAATCAGAACTGCCAGCCAGTCTCAGCAACCACATAAATCAGAAGAAAAGGAATCAGGAGAACAGATTCTAGTTTCAAGAGGCACGAACTTGACCTTGGACAATTCACCTCACTTCTGTAATTTAAATGGCAACGCCTGCTTCCAAAGTAGGCTTCTAGAAACAGTTTACGTGTTTTGGGTTTCTCAAATAAAATGGAATTTTCTAAACAGATGGTTTGATACAACAATCTATTCTCTGGCCCAATTTCCCAAACCATCCAGTCCATAAGGTCATAAAACTGCATTTCTTCACAAGTTCTTACTTGCACCACTGTATTACCAAACACGCCCGAACTGCTTTTCTAGCTTTAAACAGATGGTAATATCACATGTACTTATTCTTAAATGTGAAAGAAGAGTAATCTATAGAAAAGGGAGTGAAAAGTCTTCATGAATTAACGTGTCGGGTTAAATGAAATCTACTGGTAGACAGAAGAATTGCACTGTCTGCCGTGTACTCAAAAGAAGCTGGAAGATTACTATAATGTCACGTGCATGATACTCTCAAACCTCCAAAATCTATCATACTGAAAAAGGACGGAGAAAATAAAACTGCAGATGGGATAGCGCGAGAAGCCAAGCCTCCCGCGTCAGGATCCAATGAAATGATAGAGCCGGTGGCACGACGGTGGCACGTCTCTATAGAGTCCTTACTAACTTTGTTCCCTCTACTGAGAAGAGGGGTGAGGTGGCAGCTACTAACTGCAGCCCCTAGGAGGGCAGGTTCCATCCTGATTCCAGCGTCGGCCCCAGATCCTGAAGAAAGGACCGGAAGGGGATGAAACTAAACTGTAAGCCGTGTTGAGTAACCCATTTATCTCAGGCAGCGGCCGCGGTCATCCTGGGAACCGCACCGCCACTGGGATCCCGGGTCCAGATCCCCTCTGGGAAAGGAGGAAGCAGTGCCAGGCAGGGAGGAAGGTGCACGGGCAGCCTGCAGCCTCACCTGACGCTCGAAGGGCCCCACCCTTGCTCTCAGGTGTCCCGCTTCCAACCAGGACCCAGCCAGGGCGCGGCGTCCGCCTCTCGCGGCTCCACTTACTTTGTCGCTGGTGCTCTCGGTTTCGTGGTCGCCGCCGGCCGCCTCTCCCTCACGGGGTGGCGGCGACACCGCTTCCCCGGGGCCGGGGCAGCTTCCCCGGTACCTCAGCTCCAACATCTTCCGCTCCCGCGCTGCCGTGGTGGCCTCCTCAAGCACCCCGAAACCCGAGCTGCGCGCGGGGTTCTGCAGGCGGGGCGCCCCGCCACCTCGCAGCCGCGCCCTGGAGTCCCGCGGAGCCGCAGCCACTAACGCGGCCCCACCATAGAGCGGCCGCCGCGCCGGTCACCTCCAAAACGGCATCAACGAGAGAGCGCTCGAGGCCGCCTGCAGCGAGCGCGGCTCCGGCGGAGGTCCCGGGCAGGCTCGGGGAGCCAGGCGCGAGCCGAGAAGGCGGAGACGCGGCCTCCGGTTGCCAGGTGCGCGTCTCCACGCAGAGGCCCAGGTGGGAGGAGGAGAAGGGGCGGGGAGAAAAGGAGGACACTTGACCCGCTTTAGCGCTGCGCTGGGCTCCCGCTGCCGCGCCAGCCCCTCCCGCCCAGCCCCCCGGAGCCGGACTCGGAGCCGGACTCGGAGCCGGCGGGTCCCAGCCCCGCACACTTCTCCCTGCCCAGGCCTCCCGCACCGGGTCTCGCGCCGTAGGCCCCGCCCCTCTGCGCTGCACTGCGGTTCCCACAGCCCCGCCTCCCCGCGAGATGACGTCACGATCCCGGCCCGCGGCCCCGCCCCCGCCTCTGCGTGCTGGCAGGTGGGGCCCTGAGAAAAGGTGGGAGCGGCGGGGCTGGAGGAGGCTGGAGGAGCTGGGAGGCGGAGGCGGAGACGGAGGCGGAGGCGGGGCCAGCGCGGGCTGGAAGTGAGCGGTGGGAACTTGCAGACTTGTCCCTGGGCCGCTGCGAGGACTGGAGGAGCTACTCAAAGACGCCCGCTAAATGTTGACAGCACTCAACACTGCTCCTTCAAACGCCACCCCGACCATGTCAGCTCGACACGCGCGGCGGGTCGGAGGCTCACCGGACCAGAAACTTGTCTGGCAGGACCGACTGGTTGGCCCCGCGGCATTCCCGCCCAGTGTCATCACCTTGAAAACAGGAGATGCTTTTGCCTCGCTGGGCGTCCAGAGGTGCGTCGGCCAACAGTTCTAATCACAACCGCAGCGCCCAGAAACTCGGTACTGAATCTTACAAAGGTCACCACCTAGGATCCCAACACAGTGTGAGATGCTGTGGGGCGCAGTTGCCCTCCAGCTAGTCTCTGAGCAGTGGTGGACCTTGGGCTGCCAAAGAGGGAACAGGAGGGCAAAAAATCTGCGTTAATTCTAGTCCTAATCCTGTTACAAGGTGATTAGTTTTCTTGACATGTATCCGCCACCTGGTCATTACTGACAAGCTAACAAATGAAAAAAAAAAAAAAAGAGAGAGAGCAAAGAAAAAAGGCGGGCCTTCACACAGGGCAAGGTTCAGGAAAGCACCCTTATACAAAGAGATCAACTATATAAATTCCTCAAGGTTATTACTGACACGGTAAAAGTAAGTAAGGTGTTGAAAATTTACTAACAAATGAGCAAACCCAAAAGTCAAAGTAGGATGCATTGAAAAGCAGAACACAAAGACATCATTTTACCTCACCAAACGGATCTTTGAAGCTGTGCGGTTAGTTTGGGTTGCAACGTTTTCAAAAGGATGTCAAGAAACCCTAATTTGTTCCTTATGGGGAGGATAGTGGAAATGACAGAGAAGAGCTGAAAATAAGTCCCTACTGAACAGAGAACTATGGGGTGACTGCATTAATAAATTGTCCAATTGTTTGGAGGATCAGAAATGAAGGACTGCTTGATAGTGAAGAAGATAATCAAAATAATGACTGAAGAAGCTAGTGAAGCCAGTAGTAGGGTTTCCCTCTCTGGCTACCACCCTACTCTGCAAAAAGGATTAGAAGTGCTCCATTCTAACTCTGGAAGTCAAGAAGCCTGAGTTCTAGTGCTGCCAATGCCACTAATTGCATGGCCTGGTAAGTTATTAAGCCTCAGTGTCCTCAGCTATAAACGGATAGTAAGGATGGCCTCTGTGGTCCCTTTTAGCTTTTAGACGATCAGAATCCAGCCTTTGGTTTTCCCCATAGCCCAAGAAAAGGAGACCTGGTACACAAGATACCTGAACAACTTCCTGTTTCCCCTTTCCCTAGTCCACTCATGGCCTCTTTGACTTTTTCCCTTTGCTGCAGGAGGAAAAAAGAGAGTGAGAGGGGTGACAAAGGGGAGCAGCAGAGGACAGTAGTGCATGACAGAAGAAACAGTATTCCCCAACCCAGGAAAAGTGGGACCAATGCAAAGACCGCCAAAATAGAATGTGAGGTTCTACTTACCTCACCTTTCTTAAGCTCTGCTCCTTCTTGTATTGTAGCTAAGACAGCAATTTCTTTCAATCTTCTTCATTATAGTTATTACCACTAGTTGAGTGAACAGACTGAGCCCAGACAGCAGGAACTGGCTTATTCATCTTTACAGGTCTAGCTCTTTCCACAGTGCCAAACACCACCCTTCTATAGGTAACAATGTTTGCTGAAGAAGTGAATGAAGAAACGATGGGATGGCAAAGGTACAGCCTAACAAGGAAATATATACACTCATGTGTTGTTTAACAGTGGGGATACATTCTTAGAAATGCATCATTTTGCAACATTACAGGGTGTACTAAACCTAGATGGCATAGCCTACTGCACACCCAGGCTGCATGGTAAAGCCTATTGCTTAGACAACTCTACACAACAGTAAGTATTTGTGTATCTAAACATAGAAAAGGTACTATAAAAATATGGTGTTGTAATCTTATAGGCCACAGTGGTATGTGTGGTCCATTGTTGACCGAAACATTGTTATGCAACCCATGAATGTATAGTATTTATTGTTTCTTCATTTAAAGTCTGTTTTAGACTTACATAGGTACTCACTTTTCTTCATTTTTACTTTATATGAGAGAGAAGTTGATTTTAATACTTATTAAGAGGGATTGTAGTAATGACTTTATTTAAGATACAGTGCAATATACTCAACCACAACTGGCTTCTGAAACTCTGTGTTCTCAGACTTTTTCAATGTCTTTTTTCTTGTTCCTTTTTCTTTCTTTTTTATCTTTCATTTTCATTCAGGGAACTTATGTGTTCTAAATTTATTGTATTTATGTTTGGTGACACAAAATCTGGCGTGTAATGGTTTCTAAGGCTTTACCTGTTAACTGTTCTTGAATTTATCCTGCTGAAGGGCTTCATGGAAACCCTAAGCACGTGCATAGGCCTAATCACATAGTACAACCTAGCCAGCACTTCTTGGATTGATTTTATGATTTTCCAGCCAGGCATGTTGGCTCACATCTGTAATCCCAGCACTTTGCGAGGCCGATGCATGAATATCTCTTGAGCCCAGAAGTTCAAGACCAGCCTGGGCAACATATAGAGACCCCATCTCTACACAAAAATTTAAAAATTAGCTGGGCATGGTGGCGTGTGCCTGTACTCCCAGCTACTTAGGAAGCTGAGGCAGGAGGACTGCTTGGGCCTGGGAGTTCGAGGCTGCTGTGAGCCCTGTTCACTCTACTGCACTCTAGACTGGGTGGCAGAGTGAGACCCTGTCTCAAAAAAAAAAAAAAATTAAAATTAAAAAAATTAAAAATTTTCAACTTCTAATGAGGAATTTGCTAGAGAGATAAGAGAGAGAGTGCTAACATTATTGTTTATATGGTTTTTATTTTAGATTACTGTTTACCTTCTCTTTTGCTGGAAGTAATAAGAGCATAAGATGCAGAGACGTTGCCTGAAGTAGTGAGAGTAGGAGATGAAGCAATTTGTTACTACTCTTCCCTGAATGTCCTCAGAATGTTCCCAGACTGATAAACATGCCCTTCTGGGGTGGGAATGTGAATCTGAGCTGCTTTTCACATCAGAGGCTCAAAGGTGCCCTGTTGGAATGTCCCCAGCTTGCCAGGGGCGGAAGAAATCTTCCTCAGCCAAGCGTTTCCAGTTGCTTAGCTACCCAAGTTACAGCTTTTGTCGCTTGACCTATCTTTCTCTGTTGCCCTCTGTCAGCTTTGTTTATAAGTTGGAGGTAGGAATTTCTGATTTAGGCCACCAGAGAAACATTTTATGGGAAAATCTTGAAGTATAACTTATATTTACATTTTTATTTTTAATGGAACTGCATAGGAAAACAATGGTTTACTATCAAGTATTGTAGTGACAGAGTATCAGATGAGAGAGTGCTATGGTGTAGTTAGAAGTATGGGGTTTATATACCAAGAACCTGGGTTTGAATCATAGCTTGAAGCTAGCTTGAATCATAGCTTGAATCTAGCTGTGACCTAATTTGCTTTAAGCAACATTTTCATCATACACAGCTGAAGCTGTATCCTGACATGTCCATTCAAAGCTTAAGTAATAATTCTTTACATAACACTTTACAAAGCACTTTCGCATACATTATTTCATTTGTTCTACTCAACAATCTGTAAGCTAGGCATAATAAATATTACTCCTGTTTTATAAGAAAAAAAATCTGAGGTTCAGATGTAAAAGGTTAGAAAGGAAATTTGGGATTGAAAGCTAAGTTTTTATACTTCAAATTCTGCCTGGTTCATAATGTAGTACAAATATATAGCAGCAGAAACAAGCAACTTCTAAAGTTGGGGGTGGGGGATAGTTTGTTATAACAGGCACGTAAATTCTGAAGCTAGCCTGAGTTCAAATCCCAGCTCTGCCACCTACTGGCATTAGGCAATTAGCTTCAGTGTCCTCATGTGCAAAATGAGGATAAGGTAATATTTTCCTCCTAAGATTCTTATGAAGACTAAATTGGTTAATATATGTAAAATACTTAGAATAGTGTCTGGCCGTCGTGAAGCACTACACAAGTGTTACCTATTATTATCATTCATATTGTTGAAAGCTACGTTTCTTGAGGAGAACAATATTTGACTTCTAAACTCACTAAACTGCAACACCCCAGAGGACTGTGAAGAAGTAAGAATATGCTGATATTGCTTTGGTGAGGTAGGTAGAAATTATGAAATGGGGTAGGGAGATTTTGCAAACAAGTACAAAGAAATCAGCCTACCCAACAGTTAACCCAATTAGTTAATTTGTGCCTTATCCTTCTGAGGTAGTACAATTAATGAATTTGGCTTTCCCCATTATTAACTGAAATCAATTGCTACTCATCTACCTTGTATATAATATGATGACTGTGGAATTCCTCCCATTTCTAGGTTCTTCACTGAATCCTAGTAGCTCTAAGCAAATTACATTTGTTGATTTAATTTCTTTGTAAAGTAGGCAACATATTCTATAATTTTATAAATTGTGCCTTTAAAATGGGTGTATGTGAGCTTTTTATACTGCATGGTTCAAATATTCTGTTATTGTTGAATATGGCTATATATATATATATAGAGAGAGAGAGAGAGAGAGAGATTGAGAGAGAGAGAGAGAGAGAGAGGATATCATTTGGAGAAGTGGAAGAGATTGGTAACTGTCTTTAGAAGGACCGGATCACTGATTTGCTTCAAACTATATCAATTATCCCTCTTCAACAAATTGCAGAAATCCAGAGGTATCAGTTAAAGTATGTGGCAAAAAACACTGCTTCTGGTTGAGTTGGGCAGACAAGGAACTTATT